ATATATATATATATATATATGACCGCTGCATACTAACATGACGCGGAGAGGGAGATCTAAGTATGACCGTCAACGAACAAGAATACAAAGGGCGGATGTCGGGTCTTGGCCTGGAGAGGTCATGCTCAAAGGGGATTGATCTGTGGGGGTTGTGCAATCAAATTCACGCCACTTCGCCTGGGCTTACCTAGCATCCCAAGAACCCAGACTCGCAAAGTCTCGGCCAGACTGCCAGTAAATCGACTGCCTTTGCCAACAAATACAGCCATTATCCTGGCAGGAGGTTGCTATCATACACTTTGATGCAAACAACCAAGTTCTGCGGCGCTAGAAGAGTTTGCCAGAGTATGGAAAAATTGAGAACACCAAGGTCCGAGGGCGCAACCTTCGACTTAACTTTATTAACGGCACATCCAACGAAATAGCAACGCCCTGAAGCCTGCAGAGCGTGCACGACAGCCCTACGTCGCACAACCTCAATGCTCCCATCCTCGCCGTGTGCAAAAATGATCGTCTGCGATGTACCTGGAGTAACCGCCACCTCGTTGGCCGAATCGGCCTGGATCATGCGACACACTCACGCATGTGCTGATTTCGCACTTCGCGGCGTTGTCCACAAAGCTCACAGTGATATGTTGTGTTCGTTGCCTCTGCACTGGTGCAATGTGGGGACAAGACATGTTTAGGGGGCCTGTGGGCTTCGCATGTTGCATCCACAGCAATGGCCATGTGCAGTCTGGCACGTCATACTGAGGTGGCATACAAATTGGCAGAGGCCTCAAGCTTCCGCGTGAATTCCATGGTGACCTGGACCAAGAAACGTCCACGAAAAGCCCGACCAATCAAGACCACAAAACTAAAGTCACTAAAGGGTCCTTGCGAGCGTACTCTCGTTCTCTCTATGGATCTCTCTCTCTCTCTCTCTCCCTATACATATATACACATATGTACACATAAAACACAGAGAAAGCTATATGTATGTATATGTATATGTATATGTATATGTATATGTACATGTATATGTATATGTATATGTATATGCATATGTATATGTATATGTATATGTATATGTACGTATGTATGTAGGTACGTACGTACGTACGTACGTACGTAGGTAGGTATCTAGGTAAGTAGGTAGGTAGGTAGGTAGGTAGGTAGGTAGGTAGGTAGGTAGGTATGTAGGTATGTACATGCACAGACACATACCCTGAACAATCTCTCTCAACTGGGGCTACTCCCAACTTCGACCCAGACAGTGAAAGCTGGGGACGGCTGGCGCGGCCAGCTAGGAAAGGGATGAAAGCTATGGTGGCGGCCATAGCGGCGGTGCGTTTGCTTCCTCCCTACTACTCTTGCTACTACTACTGCTACTACTACTACTACTACTAGTACTATTACTACTTGCTACTACTGCTACTACTACTACTCCTCCTCCTCCTGCTGCTGCCGCTGCTACTACTACTACTACTACTACTGCTACTGCTACTACTACTACTACTACTGCTACTGCTACTGCTACTACTACTACTACTTCTACTACTACTACTACTTCTTCTTCTTCTACTCTGCAACTGTGACTGTGACTACTACCACTACCACCGACAACGACTCATAACCACCTCTACGACGACAGTGCCCAATATCCGGATGCCTGGCCAGAAACGGTTGAGCAGGAGGAGCCCGGCACGCTCACGCCGGAAGTCGGTGTGCTCTTTGCCTTTTCCGGAAACAGGAGAACTAGGCATCTAGCTCTCGCTTCACATGTAAACTTGCAAGGAATCGAACCAGACGGCTTAAGAACCTTGTGGTCGTCAGTCCAAGTCTCTGTGATCCAGTATCGCAACACCTCCCCGCCGCTGCAGACGAAGGCGTCGGCATTGATCATGGACACACTGTCGCCCTGCACGAAGCCAAGTCCGATCCAGGTGTTCATAGAGGACCTAACTTCGATGCGAATGTCGGTGTCGTCCAGGACCTCTGCCGTCATGGACATGCCGGCTGTCAACTCCAAACCGCTGCCTGCCGGCGTGGTAGTGGCGTCACTTGAGCTGCCGGTGGTCGTGCATGTGATTCCCGCAGCCTCGGTGCTGCTAACTTCGTCTGCATACCAGACTTCGTCGATGTACCCACCAGCGCCGCAGAGGGCGCGGAAGCTGGCGCTGCCACAAGAAGGGGCGGTCCACGTGTAGACGTGACTGGTGACCTTGGAATTTTCATCGACAGTCTCGCTGCCACCAAAGCTGCCGCTGCTGGCTGCAAGTTTTTGGCCGAGCGCGGTTGTGGACGAGACTGTAACCTTCAGGGCTGCAGTGCGTAAAGCGTAAAACGACTAGACCTCGAACCGCTGCTCCAAGCAGCCACACCTCATAGTCTTGTCCCTGCACAAACCCTGTGCCGGGGATGTTCGTGGATATGGCACATGTGGCACCGGTTGTCGCACCCACGTTGGCAATGCCCATCTGGCCAAATGCACCTTGGCTCTTGATGACCATCGTGCTGCGGCCTTTCGACCGAGAACAGTGGAGATTTCTCGTTGTTAGTGTCTCCAGTTTGCAGCTGTTTTCATCATGGTTGCCCCACAGGCCCACACTTGCATTGTAAATGCACCTGCATTGAGACTCTAGGGTTGTGGCGATGCCAGTGCAGAAGGTGGACCCTTGTTCGGGTCGCGGTTGGATACAAGTCGTGGCCCACTCCATAGCATGGAGATGCTATTGATGCAGTGCAGAATAATTAATCACAGAAGGCAAGCTTCGCAACAGTGCAGCGTCTTGCTTCTCGGTCTAGGGCCCGACAGTTTAGTCTATGGAACTGGCATCTGCAGATTGAGAATATGTCACTCATCACGATTGAGCACAGTCGAGTCACAGAGATCTTCGTCACCTCATACGTCCTGAAAACCTAGCCTATACACCATCCAAGAACGGCTGTCCCCTGCCTGCTCAAAAAACAAAACTGCAACTGCCTCTTGTGCATCCCGGGTCAACATCCTGTGCGGGCGTAGCGCTCGAATGGCCAAGCCACTACGATCGCGGCGCTGGAGGAAATCAGTAACGACAACATCACTAAATAGTGCTTGGTTGAATGCTGTTGCGGCAACCAAGACACCTGACATCCCTAGCCAAAGAACTGCTCAGAAGACTGGTCACACACAAGATGGCAGCATGAGTGGCCAAAAGTCGTAAAATGACATCCACCAGCTCAATGTTGCCAGCCGTACTATCCAACGTTACAACCAACCATGACAAGAAGAGCAGCAGAAGCAAGACGCATCAGATGACGAAGGCACTGAAGGCATTAATAGCATTGGAACACTTCGAACAGGAGAGAGTTGAGATGTCACGGGCCCGCAGATCGCAGTTGGGAATATGATTTGGGAGTGAGGGCTCATGTTCTGCCCTTGTCAAGCTTTTCATGCCGAAATCATACTCAAGAGAACAGTGGGGCGACCCGCCTACCTGCTTAATCTAGATTCAAGACCAAGCATGAGCACAAAGGGGTCAGTGCCCCAGCATGCTGGAGAATCGACTGCTGTCTACATCTAAGCTTCGAGATTGCTGAGGTCCTAAACACTTCAAGAACCGACCAATGCCGGACCCTAGGAATGATGAAAGTGCAGCCAAGAAGCTGCCAGGAGTATAGTCGCCGAGGCAGTTAAAGTCACAGTTCATGTAGGACGGATTGCCAGAGGCCTTCTTCGGGGCAGCAACTGTGGCTTCGAGGTTCGGGGGTTCAAGTGATTACGGGCTTCTGGCTTATATGTCAACCCAAGCCAAAGGCCCTCACAACAGGGCTGAAATCTAGGCCGCAATAACCGACGCCCCGCCCTAATGGCCCTAATCGCTCGCAACATCGACGCTGTGTCTGGCCTGCCATGTCAACAGGCTAACCAGCGTCAGGAGCATGGTGGCACAAGCAGCGGCTCCAAAAGGGATGATCTCAGTAGGCGCCTGGAGGCCTTGAGCCCGTCACGCATCGTATACATATTTGCATATATCGTACCTATCTCTCCTTCCTTCGCCAAAGCTAAGGGCAAGGAGGCAAGCCCATCGTACCTATCTCTCTCTGTCTCGCTTCTTCCCTGTGTCTCTCTCGCTCTCTCTTGCCCTTTGTGCAGGGCGAGAGGAGGGGTCTCCCCCTCCCCTTGCGCGAGTGCTCACTCCGTTTTTGAATTTAACTAGCTCCGAGGACACGGCGAACACAACAACTCCCAGCAACAACCTGATAAATGCAACATGCTGACAGAGGTCCCAATGCTCGTTCTCCCCCACTTCAGCTGCCTGTACTCCCTGATGCTGGCCCTCTGTATCAAGTCACCCATAAATCATTAAGAGTGCCATACTGCGTGCTGGGGATGCCTCCTGCCCCAGCTTTAGTTTAGTGCTGTCCGTCTTCCTTCTCTCTCCATTCCGGGAATGAGACTGTGTGACTCATCACCATCATTAGTCTTTCCTCCACATGCAGAGCCCGAACAACATGCAGTCAGAGTGCTTGGCAGGTTGGATCACCAACCTTTCACATTCGTAACAGTAACACACCTTCAAGCATTGGAAACCAAAGAAACCAAAACCTGATAAAACACACAAGGTTCCAGGCAAGAACCAGTGCTGTTTGTCCGGCACTGCGACCTGCAACTCATGCAACAAGCCTCAATAAGCTCTGCTGGTGCCTGCTCCGTTGGGTGTTGAACTCGGCCATGGTTTGGTTCCTGAGCGATGCCGAAGGCTGAACTTAACACTTTATCGCAACAGGAATTCTGTACTACTTCAACTACGCCTACTACTCCTACAACTAAAGCGACAACGACGACGACTACTAGTACTACTACTTCTCCTCTGTCGCTGCTGCTACTGTATCTACTTGATGACGAAAAAACTACTGCCGCTACCGCTAGTACTCGTGCTCTCACAGCCCCTGCGCCTGCTTGTTGACAACTGTTACGCGCTCACTGCAACTACACATACCATTAACATGGCCACCGCCACCTGGGTCACCACGAGTACCCCGACAGGGAATAGGGAGTAGTAACATGGCTACTAAAGCCGCGTCTGTCGTTGCTCCTGCTGCGGCTGGAACCGCTACAAACGCTACTACGACGATGAAATTTAAACAGGATTGAATTGGAAAGTGGTCCCCGGTTCGGCAAGGGTGATGGGCCAAACGGCCAAGGCAGTCTTCAAAGTTGATCCATTGAAGACATCTGGAGACAAACTGAGGCCGAGCACACTCTGGAATCATTTTCCTGCATCTTCTGCTCGCACTCCTGGAAGCTGGCGTGAGAACGAGACTGCTGGTGAAATAGTTGGACAAAAGCCCTCATAATGCAAACGCGGCGATTCATGCCGCACCAACCGTGAAATGAGCTACCGATGCTGCTTGATGTTACAATACCACGAGCAGCATCACCATTGCCATCCGAACCTTGTTCCTGAAGCCCGCTCGCCATCCAACCCCTAAACCTCTTTGCCCATGCAGTTACACGACACTACAAGAGACCCAAGAATGATGTCCACGACATTATCGCGGCCCTAAACCCTAAACCCTAAAGGTGTCGCGCGAGGTTCCTATTACCAGAAGAACTGAATCGACAATTTTATTCGGCGATGCCAAAGAGGTCAGGCTCTTGGGGAGTTGATGAAAGGTGGGCAACTCACCTTGCCGATGAAGCGAGCTTCGATTCAAGCAAGGCCAGGATGGCGGACGTGTTGCAGGGGTGATTGCCAGTCTGATAGGTCTTCTCTCGGGTTCGAAAAGCACATGCAGTACCTGCTGACCTGGTACCACTAGTCACTGTCACATGTACAACGTTCAAGATTACGCGCTGTCAAACTATCACTGAATGACAGCACCGCCATATGCACTTGCACTAACATATCTCGTCAACAAAAATCACAAATGCTGCAACTACACAGCCAAAATATACCACTGGCCAGCGCTCCTTGAAAAAGGCCTGGGTCTTCCGACTCATCTCTTTCCTTGGTCTGCTGATAGGTGCCGAGAAGAAGCAGTTGCAGCGCTTCGGGACTCTGAAACGTCTCAGTGTGATCTAAACCTGATCGTGTGGACTTATACATTTACTGACCCTATGTCGTTCGTCTTTCAACCATGTCCACGATTGCTCTATGGGATATCTCATCTGGAACGCTTCGGCCTCTTCAGCCCCTTCCGATCCGCACAACCCTTTTTATCCCAACCCGAAAGCCTCTTCCGAAGAGTGGGGATTTTGGGGTTTCGACTTACGACTCGCAAACTCAGTCGGAAAGCCACAGCTAAAAATCATCTTCCCCGACATGGAACACTTTGCGTGTCACGCCAAACTCGAAACTCTACCTAAACCTACCAGGGCAGGCAAAGCCGGAAACAGCTGCTCTCGGAACTGGCTAAAAAGAGTGATGAAGTCGGGCCCTAGACTGCTAAGCATTCCGAGCCCCACAGCGAACACCAACGAGGGCAAGACTTCTCGTGGTCCATGGTCTGGCCTCGCACGAGAGACCGCTTGAAGTGGCAGACTTGTCATTGGTGATTACATTGATTCCATACAAGCGGGGCGTGCATTTTAAATGCAAAGTATCTACAAGCTGACCCTCACCTAGATTTTGGAGCCCCGGCCTGAGCCTTAGCTGCGCTTCGTCTGATTCCTCTTCAGCTGACTTTCATAGTTTTTTTTTCAAACCCCTGCGACAGGACCCTTCCCCTACACGGGTGACCTCAGCGCCAAAATCCATGAACCGCCCTCACAAAACACTGTGACGGCGACCCTGCAGAAGCCAGTGCAAGTTCGACTGCGAACAGAACCTCAGCATAATGAGTATTTCTGGGGCCGATGCGGAGCTGATCCAGCTCGAACATGAGCTGACCCTCGGGATCCAGGTGCTCGCTTCGGCACCGAACAGCCACAGGGTTGCAGTACTGCCGCTTTTCGTTACCGCTCTCCGAAACCAAACCAGTTCGGTATCACCCTGCTCACTGTGATAGCTACTAGTAACAGTTCGATCCAGCTCAGTCGCCCTGGCATCATCAGGGCTATTACTTGCTACTGACACGCAGTTACCAGGATCAGCCTTCTTGCTACGTATGATTGCAAGTTTGCCTGCAGTCTGGTTTTGTGGCCTTCCGGCGGATGGCCTCCTGCCTTGACGTCCAAGTGAGCACACGGAAGCTCGCAACTGCTGCTTGGATATTAGGGGCTAAGTTCCTAAGACAACCCTAAGGAAAAGCTGGACAAGGCACCTTCTCTTTCTCCATCTGCTCGAGGCTCTCACCTTCGAGGCTTGGGGTTCAGGCCGGGTTTAAGGATAAGAAACCGCCAGTGTTGGGGTTCAGACTTTTTCTACCTTTTCTTGGGACACCTCGCTTGGACGAGCCAGGCAAAGACGGCAACGATGCTCTGGCAAGATGAAAGCATACTTTTTCGGGTGTTATTAAAGCTCTCGGACCTTGAGCCGTCGTAGTGATATAGCTTGTGATCAGCAGGAGCCCTTCCCTGAAAAGG